CCGTGCGTGCGGCGCCCGCTCCCTCACTGAACTCCGCGCTTCTCCTAAGGTTCCTCAGACCTGAAAGCGTAGGAAAAAAACCTCGGCGTCCGCGTCGCTGCTCCTGCCGCTGGAGGTGGTAGCGGTGAAGCAGAGAGAGTTTTTTTGGTGGTTTTTTTTTTTTTTCTTCCCCCCTTGAATTCAATGGATGTGAACTTGGAGTCTTTGGACCTCGGCGGTTTTGGAATATCTACATGCTGATCCTCTTTGTTGTGTCACATCAGCTCGTTTGGGGAAACCATCCGAAGACAGCAAGATGTTTCTCGTTATCTTGTACTTCGCTTTGCCCTTAGTGGGTAAGTTGCTGGCATCTGATTTCTGTCTGTACATCGCTTCGTAAAGCAAAGCATAGGGTATCTGGGATCGAGTGCCTGACGGTTGTCAGCCTATTGTTTAGGCAGAACAGTGAAGTTTCCAGTAGTTCTTACGGCGCTGCCTCGCATCAGTTAGCCCAGTCTACATTTAAAGCTCTGAGAGGTTACAGACTTTAGATACTTGCCTGCATAGCCTCTTGTTAAATTGGATTCTCGCAAGTTACAGGGAAACTTTTCATTTTAATAAGATAAGGTTGCTTGGGGAGGACGGCGGGGGGGTGTGGGGGGTGACAGGAGCCAGCTGAAGGATTGCATCTTCACCTGAACCTGGCAGCCTGCCTGACTGCAAGTGGTTTGCAGTCCAAAGTGGTTTCCTTTCCACAGATGTTTGTGTTTCCATCTGCGTATGTCTGAGGGAGCGTGACGGGGGGCACGATGGAGAGGAGAGAGTTAATGTAATTTGCTTTGTTCTCCTGCAAAAACATCATACGTGGAGAGAAATGGAGAGGGGGAGTTGTAAATTTTACCGTTACACAGGTAGAATAAGCAAAAATGTGTACAGCCTTTAAAAAGTGACTGATGCAAAAAGAGGCTAGTATCGGTGAAGATACTTCTCTCTCTGAGCGGGTTGGTCGTGGATGTAACTGAAATTACGGCAAAGCTCTTGTGGGAAGTGAAGCCTAATGTTTAACCCCTCAGTTAAACACTCTGATAGAAAGGTTATTTGTCTCACCCAAGTGGATCTAAGGAATAAAGAATGCTTGTTTTGTCGGGCACATTGGTCCCTGTGGGTTTTCCTTCCTTTTTGTGTTTTCTCATAAACGATCCATCAGGGCTGTAACATACTGGTTCCTTGGACTCCCACAGAAGTGGGTCTCAGACCATGAAAACCCCACGTGCGTTTCCCTGAGGTGTAGCCTGAAGCCCGGAGGTCTGCGAGGTGCTGCCGTGGGGCAGGCTGCCTGTGCTGGTGCGGCGGTGCCTTGTGCTGCCCAGGTGCCTGCTTCGGAGTCCTGGTTCAGTCAGCCCCAGCCCTCAACCGGAGTGTGTTGGTTTGTGTCTCCTCTCTCTAGATGTACTTTTGTCCGCAGAAGTGAGCGGGCTGCCTGGAGGGGACCGCCTCGACTGTGTGAAAGCCAGCGATCAGTGTCTGAAGGAGCAGAGCTGTAGTACTAAATACAGGACACTGAGGCAGTGTGTAGCCGGCAAAGAGAGCAACTTCAGCCGGGCGACAGGCCTGGAGGCGAAGGATGAATGCAAAAGCGCCATGGAAGCTCTCAAGCAGAAATCTCTGTACAACTGCCGCTGTAAGAGGGGCATGAAGAAGGAGAAAAACTGCCTGCGCATTTACTGGAGCATGTACCAGAGCTTACAGGGTACGTTGCAGAACACAGAAACCTTAGATTCCCCTAATGCAGTGTGTGATTTTGCAGCCCCTCACATCTGCAGCTAGCTGAGGCTAAACCGAGGGTCTGACCCTGTAATTCACATTGTGCTCTTCAGCTGCAAACTGAGGACCTTTCATCCGACTCAAGAACAGCTGCTGCTCTGTCTCCTGTTGTTGGGAAATCCACAATGAGGGTTTCCTCCAGGGGACCCAGCTGACCTTTATAAACCAGAGTCAAAAGATAAGGGCACTAGCAAGTGCAAGAGCTACAAAAACAATCATTTGGAGACATTTTTCTAATAATATTTAAACTCCTTAATTAGGACTCACCTAACAAGATCACAGGACACCGGAACTAATTTCCTAGTTCTTTGCTGAAAGTTAAATGTGATATGAAGAGGAGCATTGTTTTAAGGAAAAGTTGTGGGGTTTTTTTATTCCCTCCCCCCCCCCGTATTTATCAGCAATATTCTCTGGATGTGCTGGGGCAGAAAAAGGGAATTAAGTGCTTCCCAGAGTGTGTAGAAGTGTCAGTTATAAGGGATATGACAGTGATTGATTTGGGACTTCTGTTCTTGATGTCACTGGCAAATTTCCCATAGCCTACTGAGAACGGTCAGGTCCTTACACAAAATATGACTATATATGATATATATATGACTCTTAGCCCTGTTTTGGCCTGGCCCTGCAGTTGAAGATGGAGTCTTTTACTCTCTCCATTTAACTCTTTCCTGTAGCTGCTTCTGCAAAAAAGAAAATCATCCTTTTCTCTTTATTTATCCGGACATCAACTGACATGTTTTAATCAGACAAAATATATTTTTGTGATAACTTTCATAATAAATGACCCTTGGACATTTTCTGCATCATAAAAAGTTTCCCTTCCAACAGCGTCTTGCTAGGAGTGTTTTGTCCTAAAGATCCTAGTTTTCAGCTTTTAACTGGGCAGCTTTGCTGTTAGGGTGAATGAAGAGGAACATCCTTGCTACAGCTTTTCTCCTGCTGGCATGAGATAGGACAGTCACTGTGATGTCACAGGCTGTCTGTGCAAATTATGACCCTATCCATGGAGGAAGGAAAGAAAAGAACTAGTGGCAGGGATAAACAACTAGCTTCTTTCAGGTGTTCTGGTAGGTAATGATTTGAGGAGAAATAGCCATGTAAGCAGATTAAAGTGAAGTACCTTTTGCTGTGACAGAGTGACTTCATTTCAGAGTAAATGTAAACAATAAAATCTTGCCCTGAGTTCTCATACAAGAAAAAAAATAATTTTTTTTTTGTCTTTAGGAAATGACTTGCTTGAGGATTCCCCTTATGAGCCAGTTAACAGCAGGCTATCAGACATATTCAGGCTAGCACCAATTGTATCAGGTGAGCAGACTTAAAATTCTTTAACTGAAACATGGCTACAATCTGCTGCTTTGTGGTTGGATTACAGAACTTCCAAGCAATACTCTCTGAAATAAAAATGAATGTTAATAGCTGTCTGGATTTAGGAAGTTCATGATATAGTTGCATAAAAGAAAACACTAATTGGTTCTGAAATAATATCTAAAAGACTGCTTGGCAGGATGGCAATTTGTATTCTTTTTGAGTCATCCTTGACGATAAATGCTAAATTTTCCTGTAGGTGGCAATCTGATTCCCCATGTTCCTAATTTACAAATCAGTTCTTTTTTGGGAAAGTGGTCAGTGCAAGTTACCTCCCATTGACATTAAAGAAAATCTGAGAATAAATCTTTCAAATATTGCATAAGGGAATGCTTTATAGTTTCATACATTTTTGTTTTAAAAAGAAATTTCATAATTAAGGCTTGTCTTCTCTTCTGGAACTGCTGCCTGTTTTAAAAGCCTTTTCAAAACTTCCTTCTTTTTCTAGTTTTTCTCTGAATAATTTTTATTGCTGTGTGACTGTTTTTCAGAACTTGTTTGCAGTAATTTGAGTATGTTGCTCAGTAATTAAACTGTGCTGTTCATTTCTTTATCAGCCTAATTTATAATCATTTCAGATCATATTTATTGAAACAGTGAATTTTGGGCATTCACAGGGGTTACAGGTTGGAATTAATTTTATTTTTTCAGAGTTTCAGAAAGTCTTATGATTATGCAGTCTGTACTCAGGACCTTTATTTGTTTAGTTATATAAAAAAATGGAATGTACACAGTATAATGTATAAGTCTGACAGTATTGAAGATGTAAGTCAACTGACATGCTATGGATAGGCATTAGTAGATGACTTCTTAAAGGAAGGAAGTAAAGACCAGAGAGATTGGCTTGACCAGTTTTCAGAAGCCTTATGCTTTTTAGGACCCTAAGTCTCATTAAAAGCCAGGAGGGCTTAGGTTGTTAAGTATTTAATGGTACAGATTTTCAAAGGCATATAGACACATAAAATGAAGATAACTGTCCATTGGGATTTTCAGAAAGGACTAAGTGATTTAAATAGGTGTTAGATGCTCAGGCAGTTTTAAAAATTCTAAGTGCTTAATGCTTCTTCAGGTATCTTAATGCCTTTGAAAATCAGCCCTTTAGACACTTTTCAAATATGACTTCAGTTCCAAATCACCTACATCTTTTGAAAGCTTTAGCCTGGTCTGATGAGCAAGTCTGATGGAGAAGTAGTAGAGAACAAAGATTTATTTCTGAAGGATCTTTATTTATTATATTTTTTATTGCTTAAAAATCCCAACTTAATACAAAATGAAGGCAAAGGAACTCAATGCAGAGGAGTTCTAGGCTGTTTTCTATATTTTATGGTCATCCTGTTGAAGGCCTAATTTTAACCTGCTTCAGGAGTTTTATCATCTCCACAGAAACACCCTGTGTACACTCTGCCTTTCTGTTACTTTTAGATTCCTCTTTCTAAACATGTTTTATGTTTCTTTTCTACCTATTCTGTGCAACAATGAAATAAGACCTAGTTGCCAGCACATGACATCCATCCTGCCACAGTCACTTGAGATGCTGGTGGACTGATTAGGACTCATTCTGTGTTACTAGTGCACCCCAAGTTGCTGTTCACTTTGTCAGAAGTTTCAGCTTTACAAGGATTGAGGGCCTGGCTCCACAAGGAGCAGCAAACAAAATTTGTATTACAGTGAAAAAACACCAGTATTCGGAAGTATTGTCATCTGAAAGAAAAAGATTAGCAAAAGCATTTTTCTTATTGTCATGGTTACTACTGCATGTTACATTCTTTAAAGCTGCCTAGACTTACACATTTTTTGCAGGGCTCTGCAAATACCCCAAACAGCAGAACTTGGTAAGATTTTTGTATCTTGATTAAAACAAAACAGAAAAAAAATGTCTGTACAAGCAGTGTTGGCAGGGGTTTCACAACTGGTGTTCTGCTAATGTGGTCATTGTGTTTATGGATGTTGCTGCAGGATTCACTCTCATTAAAGTTACTTGGGTGTAATTAAAAATGCCTATTAACCCTTTCATCCCACAAAGACCTTTCTGTGGTATTGTATGACTTGGTGTGTATCAAGTGCAATGCTTCTGCTATCTTGTTTTATTTATTTTTTTGGAAACAGTGGTGAAAATCACAACAGTTATCGTTTTATGGTACATAGAAGGGGAAAGACATTGACTAAGGTGACTCTCTTGGGTGTTACCTAAGTTTTGTAACATGTAAGTCTAAGAAATGGAAGACTTTTTAAAAAAAGCAGTTGAAGTTGATATAATTCTATACTGAAGGATGTTCAAAATTGTATCTTCTATGGAAACAGGTTGCCACTTTCTTATTAATCATTTAATCATCAATATGTTGTTTTAAAACAAAAATCAGGACTGTGTTGCTAAACCAGTTACAAAGTTTGTAATTTCCCTCCTGTTCCTGTTTCGTTAACGGAACAAGCAATGCAATTTTGTTACTGGAGTGAGGTTTTGTTTTGTATTTTTAAGACATCTATGCTGTACTAGGACTAGTGGTGTAGTTAGTCTAGAACTAAAAGGACAAGCTAAGTGTTTATAGAAAATTTTTTAACAATATCCAGCAAAACACCCACAAAATTCCTTATTAAGCCCAGGCTATCATAAGTTTAGATACTAAAAAGCATGGTTTTTGCATTTGAATCCCTACTAAATCTACAAGATTTATTAAAATAATTTATTAAAAAAAGATTGTTGGCTAAAATTGGAGAGTGAGTTCAGTGCTTGATTTACTTGTGATGACGTATCCTGAGTATTCAAGGGTCTGATCTTCCTTTCTGTCTACACTTTAAGTTCATAAATCATCTCCTTCTATAAAGTTACTCCACTAGACACCTCACATGGTCAAATCCAGGACTGTGAGTCTTCCCAGTTGAAAGATGGGGCTGTCTTGGTTTTTATGTTGTTTTGGGCATGCCTATGCCTGCATCTTCTTTAGAACTGCTTTGTCTGATGTGGTGCTTCTGCCTCAAGGGTGTGAATTTCTTGCTGGTAGGCAGCTCTTCAAATTACTGAAGACGTGTGTGTTTTAGAGAGTAGCAGATTTGGGTTAGTCATTATGATGTAAAGATTTTGCTTAAACACACATTTTTGCTTCAACCTTAACAACTTCTGAGAGGTGTAAACATTTTAAGGCCATTGGCTTCTGTCGCAGTAATACAAAATCTGTTGATTGGATTTCAGAGGTGAGTTTCACACCAAATTAAGGATAGATGCTTGAATTAGTCACTTGTTAAAGTGATCCACAGCTTTTTACTACCTGGGGAACTGTGTGCCTCCTGAATTTGTTTTGTATTTGACATTGACTCTCACAACTGGAGGAGTTCTTATTATTTTGGTATCAACAGATACAGCATAGTGGTCATCTCTGTGGCATGTTGTAAGAAAATAGCCTGTGTATTGAAAAAAATACCTGTAACAATACTGACAAAAGAAGTATTTCTGGAATGTCTCATTCATTTCAACACAAAATGGAGAGCTTCTACAGCTGAATAAAATGCCTTAACCATATCTCTGAAGTGGTGTAAATAGAATACTTAATGTTAAAAAGAATTTGTTTAGATCAACGTATTTAGGATTACATAATGCTCTGCTCCCATGGATTCACTTTTAAGTTGCCTAGTTAATCACTAGCTTATTATCCCATTGTTCAGCTTTACTGGATTATAACAGTGTATCTTTTTTTTCTTTCTTTTACATCTATTGTGTTCAGAAATAATCTTAAAGAACAGGCTACATAAATCAGAGTGTTTCTTAAAGCATGTAGGTTTTGCTGGTAATCTGTGGAGAATTGGTTGGTTACATGCTGCTAGTTATGTCTTGTTTCTAGTCACTAAAATGCAAGACAGGTGGAAATTAATTATTTTGCCAATATACCTTTTTAAGTACACTCATTTTCAAAGTGCCTTTTGTATCATTAACATATGTCAAAAGGAATGTTTCCTGGTTCTGCTGTTCTTGTGGGAGGTTGCTTACTCTTTAAAAACTCTGGGAATCTTCTGTTGCAGAAGGTTTTTTGGAAGCTTATATTTAGAAAAGGGTATATAATATGATTGTATCTTTTTAATTAAAAACAAGATTTTAGTGGGCAGCACAGCACATAGGGCTTCTTAGTGGAGTGTATCATTCCACTTTAGAACATGAGAAGCACAGCACATGAAGTTAGCATGTTTGATTTGCATACTGAATGAGCTCTAGGTACAAACAATTATGAACAGTAAAATAGTGTCTTACTGGATTTTGGAAGTTGAGACTATAAAAATTTAGCAGTGCTGGAATTCTCCAGAAGGGTCTGTGTGCTGGTGGCGTTTAAGTTAGGCGGTCTCCTATGCACTCTTTCTGTAGGAGTTATGGAGATAGTTCTAGGCCTCTGTCTAGGATGTCTACGTTGTTCAGAAGGAGAGCTTGCTTAATCAGTAATTTTCCCTTCTTCCTCTGAGTTTTTCAAAGTCTTTTAGGCATCTTATATCATTGGCGTTCACAGATCAGAAAGTTGATGCTGGAAAAGAATGAAGTCCAGGATGCAAAACACGTCCTTCAAGATTTGATAGACTTTTTTTTCTTTTTATAAGGGGATACTTCTCCCTCCCCAGCATAAAACCTGTTTGGGGTACTGGGGACAGCTATCTGGTCCCTCCCTGTTACTCTGTCCTTCCCAGGGATGGCGTTGAGACATCACAGAGAATGAACTGCAAGTGTTTCCTTTGGAAAAATGGTGATCAGCAAAGGTGGGGGAAGAAAGTTGTCTTTTAAATATGATTCTCTGAATCCAGAGAAACAAGGCTTCCTTGTCTGTCTGTTTATGGTCCTTTAGGATTCCTCACACCTCCTCTTTCTGCTACTTCTGTGACGAGGGGCTGTAAAACTAGAAAACACTGCATCATAGTGAATTAATTTTGCCCAAACTTCCATAACCCCAAAATTCTTTTAATCGAAA